GGGGTGAAGAGGTCGCTGCCTCGGGGATGAGCAAGTGAGGTGCACTGCCAGCCCTTTTCCCCGAGCTGCCACCGAGCAATGCCTGACAGTGGAGCTCGCTCCCGGGCCATCCTTGAAGAGCACTTCAAAGCCGCCAACAGCAGCTGCCGCCGCTGCCTCTTCCAGGGAAGCGGCTCTCTGACTCTCTTTCTCTCTCCGCACCCCCAGCACCAGCCCGGCCAGCAGCCGCCTCAGCACCTGGCAGTGCTTCCTCCTCCTCCTCTTTGTCCTGCTTCAGCCGCCTTGGCTCTGGAGGCTGCCTGGGCTCGCCTCGCAAAGTTTACTCCCCTGTCGTGGTGGGGGTAGCTGCTGCTGCTGAGTGTGCCTCTTTTGAGGGGGCTCTCAGAGGAAGGTTGCCGGACTTCTCTGTGTGCGTGTGCGTGCGTGCACGTGCACCTGTGGGATCCCTGCCCCGTTCTGTTTAATTTCGTGGATACCGAAATTCTCCTTTGGCAAGGCCATTTCTGTGAGGGATTATTAAAAATTTTATGTTATGCCCCCCCGGGCGGTTGCCAGCACTCCCTCCCTTTTTCATCCTGCTGCTACTGGTGGTGATAGTGAAGGAGCCAGAGGGGGTCATGGCAGGCGCCCCTCTTCCTCCTCCTTGCAGCCCCAGCCAGGCTAAGGAAATTCCTGGGCGGCTTCCTTGGGCTCTTGCTCCGCTTGGCGGAAAATCTGATGCGGCCCAGCCTCATCCAGACTCTGCCTCCAGCGGCCCCCAGGTAAATTGAGTTTGAGACTCCTGATCCAAGCAAATGTCTGTGGGAAGTGAGGAAAAGGTTATTTATACTGTCACTACTATATTATTTCAAAATGTTTTCACCACTCTATCTTAAATGGTCAAAATCTGATATCACACTTAGGACCTACAAGAAAGGTATTGGTGTGGATGTCCACCAGTAGGAAGGCTTGTGGTCTTCTCCCAAGCTGGAACAGGACCCCCAAGGGAAAGTGTAGGGGGGTGTTTGAGGGTGTTTCCTTCTTGTCTTTCCTTCTCTCCTCCCCCTCCCTCGCAAAGCAGAGCCTCCTACTATGAACAAGAAAGTAGAAAAAAAATCCTTGTGTACTGTTCTGTTTTAGTATTGTGAACTGTTAATTTATTTTATGCTACTTGGGAAGACAGCTACGTAGTGACTATAAATAACTCAATGAATAGAAAGATTAAGAAATCCTAAAACAATCTGAATACTGAGCATTCTCAGTGGCTTCTAGTGTAGCTCCCAAGCAGAAAGTTCCTAGCAATGTGCAGCTATTCTATATTTTTCCTCTAACAGGTTTTTCTAATGGGAGGGGGGGATTTCACTGGGAAAACACTGAAGAACTAGAATGGAAGACAATGATATTTTCTATCCCTTAAAAATCTCATGAAGATGACAGAGCATTTGCAAAACAGAAGCATCGTCCAGAACCCTGGGAATGATAAAACACTGCTAACTGAGAGACAGATGGACACAGAAGTTCGCAAAACAGATCCCATATAGTGCCCTGAAATGGGAGGCACCTAACCTAGCTAGACTGATGTTGGACTGTGCGAGAGAGAGAATATGTTACAACTGTGTCCACCAAGTTTGAACACTTTTCTGTTATGTTCAGTTTATTTCCATTTTCTGAAGCCTCCAGACTGGGCTGCAAGCAAAAGCAACTCACACTTCCAGGATTCTTTGCAACATTTGAAGTGTTACTCTTGCATCCCCTCTCCAGAAGACTACACCAGAAGCATCTGCATATAAGAACAGAGAAACTGAAAGGTGCTTTGTTTCAGCAGAGAGAAGCAGCAGCACAATAACTTCCACCACTTTGCACTTGTTATGTAATGTTCACCATTTGTTTTGGAAATATATTTTTACAAGTGTTTCAATGTAGTAACACTACTTTAAAAAGAACAGAATCAATAGTAGCTACTTAAACCATTTTTCAGTTTGATCATTTAAAAAAAAAAGAATTAGATACCTTTGTATTCCTAATGAAAAAAAGGCAACTTACTATCACATTCACACTTCTCGGGTACATCCAATTGTGCAATTCCCCAGTCATAAGCAACAGTTTGTTTCACAGGAGTTATCCAGCATCCTCGTAGTAAGACGGGCCTGGAATTTAATACCTGACTGTGCCTGACCTATTACTGAAGGCCACAGCCTCTATTTCGAGAGTGGGTGTTGGACCTTCCAACCATGTTAGTGAAAATGATCTGTAATCCTTTGGCTCTATCGCCAACAAGTTCATGCATGAAGAAAATGAGGTACATAGTAAGGGTATGCAAGTGATCACATTTCTCACAAATGCCACTTACATAATCCATTCTCCATATTCTTATGAGAGAGAAATATCGAAGTGCTGTGCAGGAGAGAAAACCATCACTCTGAGAAATTTTCCTTTCATCAGGATAGGAGACACAGATCAAAATTCTGGCTCTTTCTCCAAACATCAAATACATATTAAATTAACATAATCTCATTTGTCCACAGAATTCAAACTGTCACCAACCAAATGTCCTCAAAATGGAGGTTAGAAGTTCTGTAGGTTGTTCTGTGTGATGGAAAACACTGATAGGATCTCCTCCAGAGAGAAGAAACATGCAGAACACAGTCATGGTGATATGAGTGCCAATCATAAGCTTGTTTTACTGCAGAAGTCGCAATGTATTCCCCCACTGAGGTCTCTCACGACACCCTGCTTTATCAGCTTCTGAAGAAACTTTGTTTCTGTAGTCACATTGTGCATTGTTTGTCCATTCATTGCAGCCATGCAAAGATTGTCATAATAATGCAGTGGTGTGTTTGGTTGATTAAGGTTATATCCAAACCCAGCTAAACTCACTTCATCACATAAATGTGTAGCCAGAACAACTGCGGTCACTCCAATTGTAGGCACGTTCTACATGGGGCAAGAACAACATTTCCAAATTAGAAAAAGAGGACAACATATGCTGAAGTATATGTTACTGCATTATGTGGAAAATCAGCTTATATATGTACTCCTTTGGAATCAAAGAAAGGAAGGAATTAACAGTTGTTGCTCACAGACTTGTAATCACAAGATAACCTCGACTTTAGCCATATCTGATGTTCCTTGCCTATATGTGTTTTTAAATGGAGGGGGGGAGGATACTTCAAGGGTTATCATATTACCTTCCCTAAAGTTCTCCTCTTTTACTTACAGTTGATAATGCAATTCTCTTAGGGCCCAAATGCCCACTTTATGTGAGAGAGAGGCCAGAGCACTGACAGGAAAAACTAGACACACATTTTTTCAAATGTCAAAGAGTGTTGGACTGGCACCCTGCTATAAGCGTTTCAACATGGGGAAGCCAAAGCTCATACAACAAAAAATAGAAGGAATTTGATGGAGAAGAACAAATCCATTATGTTTTGTGGGGACATAATTATAAATATGACAGGGGGAAATGAAGTCAGCTGTTGAGAGATTTAAAACAAGTTGCACTAAATATATATATGGCAGCCACTGTTATTCTGAAGAAAACAAAATGTGGGGGATCCAATATAGATTATTCTTGTGTCTGAGATCCTTATTTCCCGCTGAAAATCATGGCCCCACTTTGCTCCTCAAAGTGTTGTTTGTGGTGAATGACCCCTTTAGAAGCAAATAGCAGCTGCAGGTGAGACGGACTTTTGGTGGGTAACAAGCATGGGACCCCCACTGAGATTAAATGTACACTCTGTATTGGGACTCATGCCGCAGCTTTCCTTCAAAAACTTATTTACGTTTTTTTCTTTTAATGCTTGGTATATATTTTGGCCTTAAAATAGGAAACAGCAAGAATGAGAATGGAAGGAAGATATTTTTTGGATTTAAATGGCCTCAAAAGACAAAAAGAACATTCTGGAGGACTTCATCACGTTTAATGGTATGCAGGGGCCACTTTAAATGTGTGAACTTCTAGCAAGTTAGATTTATTATGTCAAGATTCTAGCCAGGGAGGATGGAAATAATGCTATTTAATTTTCACTGAATTGCTGGAACAGTTCACTTCTGATCCTGCATATAGCATAAGTTGTTCATCACACTATAGCATAAATGATCTGACTTCATACATAAGAGGTTTCTAGATTTCCAGGAACATGCTATTTAAAAAAATCAGAAATGCTTAAATAAATTGCAAATGGTCTTTTATGGTGACCAAAGAGTAAGAAGAAAGAAAATTATGTCATCTTTCTTTATCCATAAAATATATACACACCTTATCCCATCCCCAGAACTTTGGTCGAGGTTCAGGATACTCCAGAATATCCAAAGCAGTCTCTTTAATGATTATTGGGTTCAAGATGCGAAACTGTTTCGGCATCACAGGTATCTTCTCAGCCACCTGCTTCCAAAAAAACAATCGCATCCAGAGTGGCTAAAAGGGGAAGAAGCATGATTACAAGGTTCAGAACCTATTATAAGAAATACAACACACAAGCCCGAGACCATCCTAACTGATTTTCCTCCAAAAACTATTCTAAAATGTACTACAAACATCCTGGCACTGGACAAATTGTGGCTGGGCAACTGTTTTTGAATTGCAGTTCCTCTCAAGCATGACCACTGGCTATAGCAGATGCTTTAAGGCGGATGAAACTACTGTTTTCAGAATCTGGACGTTTGCTGAGATACATGTATGTTGATCTCTACTGTGATGAAGCCATCCAACTATTTCCACTCTTGTATTTAAAAATATCAATTCTTTATAAAGCCGAGTATCTGATCTACTCAGATTTATTTTCTGTTGTCTTTTCATTCCATTCCTCTCCCACAGCTTCCAGCCTGACCACTCTACTTCTGCACATGCTACTTACCCAAGTTGAAGAATTCCTCCTACACAACATATTATAGATATTTATTTTGCAGAACACTCAAAATCTTGTACAACAGGCATGACATGCTGATTTTGAAAGCCGTGATAGTTAAACATTTAAATAACTATATGAATTCCAAGCAGAAATTGTTCGTGGCAAACAGAGACATAATGAAATTGTCTTATATTTAATTAACGCAAAACCAAAAATCTGACAATATTTTATATATACTACTTACCAGTGTTTCATTTTTCACCATTGCTTGAATCCAACCAAAATCAACACTTTTAAATAAAACAGCAACAAATAAACCATTTGGATAATATTCATGTTGAGATAAAGGGGCACCTTCTGGATAGGTCATCCTTATGGTAGTTTTATTACCAACATCATCTGCATATCCCTGAACAGGAGCATTATTTAATCTATAAAGTAAAGAGATCACAAATTAGTGACACCATAAGAACTAAAATAATTAAAACACTTCATTTGAATAAATAAATAAATAAATAAAGTAAGTGGTGCCTCGATTTACGAACGCCACTACCTATGAACATTTCGACATGAACAGCTCTGCTCGCAAAATTTTGCTTCGACTTGCGAGCGGAGAACAGAAAAAGGCAGGAGGAAAAGGCGAGAAATTTAAACCATTGGTGGCGAAGAAGCTGCTTCTTTGTAGCTCTTTCGCCCCAACAGTTAAGAGTAGGGAGTCAGGGAACTTTTTTATTCCTTTGGTGAAGGAGGAAGAAGGAGAGGCGGGGGCGGCTCCAGATCATTCCCAGGTGCGGGAAGCCGATGCACTCCCTGCCTATCCCTGGAGCAGGTCTACTCATGACTAAGGCCTGCTGAAGGCACGGGTTTACTCATGTGTAAGGGCTGCCAAAGCGTGGGTCTACTCGTGAGTAATGGCCGCCAAAGGCCGTGGGCAGGGGCACGTGGGTCGGAGGGACTTCTGTGGACAGGGCGTGCAGTGGCAGCACAGGAGGAGGAAGGCGAAGTGGGGCAGCTCCAGTTCGCCACTGGGCAGGGAAGCCAGTGTGCTCTCTGCCCATCCTCCAAATTTTTATCCAATCCTCTGTTTTAATTTCTGTCTTTAAATCATTTTCCCAAATTGATTTCAAACCTTCTGTTTGTGTCTCTTTTTCCTTTTGTTCCAAAATTAGGTTATAAATTCTACTTACTACTCCCTTCGTCAAAGCATCTTTCTGCATGTCTTCATGTGATGATAGAAATTGTTCGTACTTAGTAAATTCTCTACATTTGTCATTAGTTTTCAACCATTCATTTGTCCAACTATCTAACTGGATATAATTATACCATGCTAATTTATTAGTTTGAAGTTTAACTATAATCTGATTCTTTGATCTCATTTTAATCATCTAATCCTTCAATCTGGCAACTTTTTTGTTCTTAAACATAACAGTTAAACCCATGAAGTTTGCTGGGAAATATTCTATTTTGGTCATTAATTTTAGCAGTGAAGTAAAGGGACATAACTTTTTTTTATTCTTGTTCCAGATTTTTAACATGTTCCTTAAAAAGGGGTTGTTCACCTGATTTACTGTATTTCTTTTTATTACTACATTAAACAAATATTTTTCAATATTCCTATTTATTTCTGAGGATTCCATATCCCACCAAATTAACCTTCCTTTATTGTATATAATATCTCCAATAAATCTTAACTGATTCGTTATATAATTTTTTTATATATTATGAATACCTAAACCGCAATTTTTTGAGCCTTATACCAATATCTTTTATTTTAGATTTTTTTTACCTTAATTATAGTGGTGCCTCGCTAGACAATGTTAATGCGTTCCGTCTTGTGAAAACATGGTCTAGCGAAAAGCGTTTCCCCATTGGAATGCATTGAAACCCATTTAATGCATTCCAATGGGGGGAAATAGTCAACGCCCAGCGAAAATCGCCCATAGGGAAGCCATTTTGCGAAGTGCCGATTAGCTGTTTCAATTGATGTCTTGTGGAGCATTGGTCCCGAAAACACCCATTTTGCGAAGATCGCCCATAGGGAAGCCCTTTTGCGAAGCCACTGATAAGCTGTAAAATTCGTCATCTTGCAAAAAAATGGTCTGCAAAGCACGGACCAAATCATCGTCCAGCAAAATCCCCTATAAGAAAAAACATTTTGCGAATCTCTATAGTGATCGCAAAAAGTCAACGTCTAGTGAAAAAAACATTTTGCGGGGTAATCATCTTGCAAGGTACCACTGTAATTTATCCCTGCCAATACTTAAAACCTTGGAGGATTTCCGCTTAGGGGTGAGTTTTCCCCCCCCATAGGAACGCCCCGTATAGCAACGAATCCGGATAGCGACGATTTATCCGGAACAGATTATTGTCCCTATGCGGGGCACCACTGTACAACATTTGAACCACATCCAAATATTTAATATAATTACACATTTTAAAACTATATTTATTTACAAACATTTCTTGTTCATGTTTATTATAAATAAATATCATTATTTGTGTTTTTTGCCAGTTAATAGTTAATCCTGTTATTTCCCCACATTTTTCTAAATGATTTTTAATATTACCCATACCTTCTAATGGGTTTTTAATGGTCAATAATGAGTCATTAGCAAATAAATTAATCTTAATTTTTTCATTTTCCTAATCTTTTAATTAATTCATCATTTCCTATTGCATTAGCTAACAGTACTATAACCATACAAAACAATATTGGTGAAAGTGGGCAGCCTTGTGTTGTACCTAGGCCTAAAAAAATCCGCTCTGTTAAACCATCAACTATTACTTCTGAAGTATTATCTGAATATAATTGATCTATAACCCCTATAAATCGTCTACCAAATCCCCAACACTTTATAGAGAGCTTTAATGTTGGCCATTCCACACAATCAAAGGCCTTAAATATGTCTAGTGACAAAACAGCTGCCTTTGTTTTTTCCTTTTCTACCTCATATATAATATTCAAAATTTGCCTAGTTAAATTATTCATTTGTCTTACGTTTATAAAGCCACATTGATCCTTCTTTAATATAATTTGCTATAAATCTGTTTAGTCTATTTGCTAGTATAGCAGTAAAAATCTTGGCATCTTGATTTGTTAGAGACATAGGCCTATAAGATCCTGGATCTGTTAGATCCTTATTGAGTTTTGGGATAAGAATCATTAATAAGTGTTTCCAGGAAGGTGGCATTGTCTCTCCTTCCAATATTTTATTATAAAACATTTTAGCTTAGGTGTCAAAATGGAACTAAAATGTTTATAATATTCTGGACCCAATCCATCAGGGCCTGGTGTTTTACCAAGCCTTCAATTTTAGATTGACCTTGAAAACAAAAATGTATGCCATATACAAAATATCAACTTTCTAATGGTTCTGACTTAAAAACCAGCCCACCTACACTGACATGAGAACCAGGGTGTGTGCAAGACATTTCCTAGATGGTTGCAGTACTGCACAAATGTAGGTGTGAATAATTTGCATTAACATCATGCACCACCACAACATCCTAGTGTATTTTTCTTGCATAAGTGGGTAGATACTTTGAACCTTAGCATCACATTTAATGACATTTAGAAGGCTATAAACAGTAGGAGGGAAATCTTCAAAGTTTGGAATTTAGCACCATTTACTCAGAAGACAGTGGACATTTTGCATACTAATAAATGTTTATCTGGATGGAAGAACATAGTTTAAAAATGCATTTTGTATTTCCCATTATGATTACCCTTATATCATAACTCTGACATCCACAAAAGAGCAATTAGGAAAATGATCTCCATACGCTACAAGGACTTTCTTTGTCTTGGAAACACTGCAGAACAGGAACAAGGAATCTTCAAGGGTCTGGGAGCCACTTTTGCCCTTCCCCAGATCTTAGACAGCTACTTGCCTGGATGCACCTAAACATGATCTTGCGCCCCCCCCCAAAAAAAACAGCAAATCATGCCCTTAAGAAGTGTCTGCGGGTTCAATTTGTTATTTGAATATAATTTTTCCCTCCCTCTGTTGTCCAGTTTTAGTCTTTGAAACATCTTTGAGTCTAAAAAGGACAAGCCTCTTATAACATTACCAGTGTAGGGCACCAAATTTTGCAAAACTTTGCAGAAGCAGCAAATCACTCCAAGCAGCATTGAACTGAGCAGCCTGCTGGCCAGAAAGGCTCTGCTGTCTGCAGTGCAATTAATCTCACAACCAGACTCTGAACATTTTAAACCTTCCGCTGAATAACTGGATGTGCAACTGATTGTGTATGTTACAACAAATAAACACATATAGAATTCCAGGGATGGAGGAAACTGACCCTTTTAGTTCCGTTGCTGACATCCATGAAGTGCTCGCCTGCTGTCACCAGAAAATAGGAACAACACAGACCAGGACTTTTTAACAAATATGCTGGATTACTTCAAAGCATTATGCATAATCTAGATTTTGAGGGGAGAATTACATACCTTATAACAATATCAAATTGATTCAGGGCATAGCCCAACTCCAGCCCACGAAGTACCCCGCCACTCCCAATAACAATGCAACGCCTGCACGGTTTTGACTGCAAGTCTTCCGGTAGATCATACTCAGGTAGACGTTCCAACAGTTCCTGAAGTTTTTCTGAAAACTTGTTAAATCCAAAGGGTGGCTCATATTTGAAAACATCCTGTTGTGTATTTACGTCTTTTCTTATAAAAGGAGATGCATTCATATTGTACTTGTCTAAAAATAACCTGCTCATCTCTTTCTTCGTAAAAGATGGTCGACATGGGGCTTGCAGAATCTGTTCAGCATACTTCTGCGCTCTCTAAAACATCAAGATACAGAAGTCAAGTTACACATATTAGCATGTGTAGCATCCACCCAGGTCATGAATAATAATAACCTATTTGCATGTATCAATGAGAGTGCTGGAGACACAGAGTCACCAGATATAAGAGTCTCTGCAGGAGGGGGAGGGAGACAGAATTGAAAGTTGAGAAGGGAGGTTTTGGAATTGGGAGTTTGGAATAGGGAGAGGGTTGGCGGGTGAGGGTGGATGAAGTGGGATGTTTGGTTAAGAGTTAAAGACATTGACTGTACCTTCATCACCTGTATTAATAAACAACTTCTATTTGGTTCTATTTAAAATGACACATGGCCTGGATCTCTATTATTAATAATACATTGTGGGAAGCTTCTGCCCAAGGCCGTTAGTTGTTATCTGTTACAGTGAAGAGCAAACTCTCCTGGCAGAGAGCAGCAGCTCCTGACGGGCCGGGTGACCTCTCACTGTGCCTTTTCCCTTAGCGTTAGATCATAAATTCAAAGACTTTCTCCGGCCAATCCTAGTGGTGATTAGGTAACCAGTATCCTATCTGAATCCTCACAACGTAAGATGTAACCCTTGCTAAGTTAATACAAGAGTTCTCAAGGTGTGGCTTTTAGGCTCCGCTGGCTCAGACATCTGTGGTTGACTTCTTTGTACTTTCTCTAAGGTTAATTGCTTTCCTCATTGTCTATGATCACCTGCATCATTAGCTTTTCTTTGTTCCGTGATCACCTACAATGGTGATCATCTACAATACATAATGTTGATGTAATCAACTGGTGGCAGCTGAAAGACATGTAGCTTGTGCCCTGTGTTTGGTGAAACAATCAAGGCACATGTAGGAACATGACATAATGTTCTAGCACTGCAATTGCAGCTAGGTGGGTTTATCTATTGGTTTTATTACAGGCCATTTCATCAATGATGTATAGGAATTCTGTAATTATAAGATACATATCCAAGAAAACATATAGTAGTTCCAGCATCAGCAGCACAACCACTTGGAGCAAATATGATTACAAGTAAGATTACAGATTTTTTTTCCAAGTCACAATACACCTGACTTTTTATAACTAAGTTTGCTTTCATAAACCTACCATTCAGTTTTTCATTTTTCATTTTGCTCAAAGACCTGCCTAATGACGGTCAAAGCCAATTTCTTCATCTTTAAAAAAAATTGAAAATGACTGGTAATTAATTCTTGATATGAAACAGATGAGAATACAACTCATTCTTAAACCTCTTCTCACAAATTGTCCATTATATTCGAATGAAATTTATTAAAATTATGTCTATAACCAACCTTTGCATGTTCTGGATTTACATAATGAATTCTTGCCATGTCACATTCCTCAGAACTGAAGCTTATCTTGACCATGTAAATGAAGCAAAGGCCAATCACAACTAGGACAACATGTCTAAAATTAAAAAGATGCCATGTGTTAGATATCAAAAGATAAATCTAATGTGTATCTGTTAGCTTAAAGTAAAATGTGTTCCATAAATCTTATTGAGATTTTGTTCTCAATTCTGTAAATATTTATTTACTAGCACCTATACCTCAAGTTGAGTGAGGGTTTATTTTCTGTCTGTTCACATACATTTTTTGGAACTACAATCTGGATAATTTTTGTCCAGGCTCTGCTAAATGTTCTGACCTGTTTTCATAGATTTTTAAAGAGCAGGACATGTACTTTTTTTTTATTCCCCACTCTTTGCCTCTTACTGTATTTTTTGGCTCTGCGGGAGAAAATCTGATCAGGGCAGATATTAGGCCTGATTTCATCCTTTGAGCTACTACAGGATATACCAGCTCATGATTTGTACTTGCCCGCAAAGAAAAATTATTTTGATATAAAATGTATTTAGTTATATTATCTACTATTTGTCTAAATATGCTAAGGTCACTGTGTCCATGAATTGCATCTAGCAACTTACAAACATGCACACATACATCTGAGATTGCATAAATTTTATAGATGCCTTCAGATGTTGAATCACACAGGAGACCTCTAAGAGAACAGAAGTCTTTATGACCTTCAATATGCTACTGATGAATCTCAGAAGCATAACATTTCTGCATACAGTGCAAAGTTTTAAAATAACTATCCTATTTCTGTTTTCAAATAGTTCTTGCTAGTTCCTGCAATCATAGTTGTACAGTGGGGTCTTGACTTAAGAACGGCTTGAGTTAAGAACATTTTGACTTAAGAACCACTCTCACAGGAAAATATTGACTTGACTTACATACTTAGATTTGAGTTAAGAACTGAAAAAAAACCACGTGGGAGGCAGGGAAAGTGCAAAATTTGAACTTTCAGTTAACTGTTGGCCAGTGAAAAGGGTGCCTGTCTGCTCCCTCACTCCTCCCAGCGTTTAGAGAGTGGATTGGGAGACAGTCTTCAGACTGCCTGGTACTGTACTGCCTGGACTGTATTTTCCCTGCCTTCCCTGAACCTTTCTTGACCTAAAAAAAATAAATAAACAAAATATCTCCCTCTAGTGGTCGAAGGCGGAATAGCAGCTCCCCAATAGTTTCTATGGCCGGAAAAGAGCAGATACGGATCAAATGGTTTTCAATGCATTCCTATGGGAAATGCAGATTTGACCTGAGAACTTTTTGACTTGAGAACCGCCTTCCAATACGGATTAAGTTCTCAAGTCAAGACTCCACTGTACTGAGACTTTGCATCCTTTTTCACCACATCCTTGAAGTACAAAATAACTGTAAGAAATTGGATTTGGAAAGTATCTTCAAGATAGACCTAACACACAGGACAAGTGGAGATGAACCCAATGCAAAAATATATTTTTCCTGTGCCAGCATTAGAAAACGGAATGGTGGAGTGCTTCATAACATGGAATTTGTGGACAATGTTACTGTATATGTAAAAAATGCCATCCTCAGCGAAGAAGAGGCTACAAAATCATCATATAATAAGCACTGTTATCTTTTATATTTGAACAAGCACATATACCTAATGTTATGACAGAGACACTTACTTGCAAGTACCTTTTAAGAACCCACTTGGCCTTTTCATCTTCATGCACAACTGACTTTGAGCATGGTAGAGAAGAAGAAAACTCCTTTTTCAGATGAACAGCGTTATCTTCACTCAGCATCTCTGCAAAGGGAAAATTCTTATATTACAAAGTTCCTTATTGTCCACTTTAAAAGTACCCACCCACTATAATTGTTTCTTCTCCTTTTCTGAAAAAAGTCTTTCTTTTGCTAAAAACATGGAGGATTAGCTATAGTTTAGTTTGAAAGGTATCCCTTGTCCTCTGAACTCTATTAAGAGGAAAAATTACACATCTCTGAGGAAGAGCCCTTGTCCAGTGAAAGCACATGTGCTTTGTGAGGTTTAATGCCTACCCTCTTAGTAGGGCTAAGGGCTGCTGCCAGTCCCTGGGCAGACAGACTGAGCAAGACTGATCCATGACCTGGTTCAGCAGAGGGCAGCTCCTCTGTCATTTCATTTATCTTTAATACCTGCCAACAGCTATTGCATATACCATGTTTCCCCAAAAATAAGACCTAACCTGTGTGAAGGAGCAGAGGCAAAGAGTGTGCCATCCTTAGTTGACAAGACAGAGGAAAAGAGAAAAGAAGGGGAACATCAGGAGATGACAGGGGCAGTAGAAGAAAAGGCGGTAGATTTGACAGTTGAAGAAAAAGTGGGAAAAACGGAGGTCTGTCTAGTGGAAGGGGAGTGGGTGGAGCAAGAGGTGTCAGGGTGGGAGGAGGATAAAAGCGAAGAGGGGATGGTGTGGTTCAGCACTGTGGTGGAGGAATATGAATGGAAAAGAAGGGAGGAAAGACGGAAAGCTTTTGAAAAAGTTCACAACCAAGGACTCTTAAAGGACTTTCCCAACCTGAAAGTAGGTGGACTCCTCCCAGACCCGAACACGAGACGGAGAAGCCAAGGCGAGTCGTGACACATGAATGGACAGTGATTGTGGTGCCAAGAGAGGCTGAATTGCGGTGCAAGTGGGAAAAAACTACTACTCCATTTCCTGAGGGTCCAGACGAGAGGGGGTGGGTGAGGCACTCATGTTGTGGGACGATTTGTGCGATCAGGAGTGCCCCACCCCCACGGTTGGAGGGCAAGAAATGTCATGGAGTGCTACACCAGTAAGCCCATGGGACTATAGTAAGAGTTTTGTTGATGTTAATGATGGCCTGTTGCCAAAGTTGGAACCGTTGTTACCTTCAAGTGAAATGCTAGTGGACATTGGGGAGAATTAAGTTGACAGTTTGAAAGTTATAAAGACTAAGCATTTGTTATTTCCCACCAAAAATGAGGGGCCGCCTGAGGGAGGTAGCGGGCCTCTTCACAACCTGAAAATAAGCCCTAGTATGATTTTTCAGGATGACTGTAATATAAGCCCTACCCCAAAAATAAGCCCTCATTAAGTCAAACCCCACCCTCTACCAGGGACTCAGCAGGATCTTCCAAGCACTCAAGAGAGACTTAAAACATCTTCCCCTCCTCTCCCCCTTCCCTCGCTTGCAGAGGGGCTGGGCGGCCAGGGAAGAAGGAGCCACGCACCGCCAGGAACTTGCTCCTTGGCATCGAGTCGCCACGAGGCCTAAGTTCCCAACAGCTCCTGGGGTTTGCGCTTCTACAGCGTGTGTGCTTCCCCTCTCGAGCATGCGCCCAGGCAAGGCTAACAAGGTTGGAGGGCAGGAGGTGATTTCGGAGCTCTGGCCCCCACCAGCCAGCCAGGCCCCCACCCTGCCTTTATTTTCCACCTCCTCTTTTTCTACTGTAAGTGTTTTAGCCCTCCTCTCTTCTGCGATGGCCAGACAGACTGTTAGTTTCCACTTCTGGACCGTCAACCGTAGATGTGCCAGCAGCTTGCGCGGTGCCCGCCGGCTGACCCACTCACAGTGGGTGCCCTTTCCATCTCTCTTCCTCACCTCCCTCCCCCACGCACCACAACCACCACCGCCTTCCTGCTCTTTTCCTTCCCAGGTTGCTTCTTGCCGCTGGCTTGCCTCCTCCTCCTCCATTGTTATCATCATCTTTTTGTTCATGTCCCCTTGACCAACTGCCCTTCCATGTCATGTGTTGTAACATACAGTGGCGCCTCGTTTAACGATTACCTTGTTAAATGATGAATCCGCTTCACGATGATATTTTTGCGATCGCTATTGTGATCGCAAAACAATGTTTTAATGGGGTTTTTTTGTTTCATGATTATTGGTTCCCTGCTTCAGGAACCAATTCTTCGTATTATGACGATCAAAACAGCTGATCATTGGGTTTCAAAATGACCACCCGCTGTGTAAAATGGCTCCCCGCTGTTCTTTAGGATGGATTTTTCGCTGCACAGGGAGCAAAAAATGGCCACCCTATGGAGGATCTTCACTGGACGCTGAGGTATTTAGCCCGTTGGAATTCACTGAACCAGTTTTCAATGCATTTCAATGGGCTTTTTTTTTTTTGCTTGAACGGATTATCCTCGTCAAGCGCGGCACCACTGTACTTAATGCACTCATGTGAAATAAAGAAACATTTTCTGAATGTTGGGGCCTACAATTTTTCATTGCTTTTGTGTGGATCATCATTCTTAACTATAGTATCATTGTTTTTGTTGCCACTCCTGTCTCATAGTCTTCAATTAACACTTGATTAAATTATAGATTTAAAAGGAAGAATATTTTGACCTCCACACAAGATGAGTGCCAAAAGAAAGAGCTATTTCACAGAGTACAAGAAAGGAATCGTGGAAGACTCCTGGGGCAAGAATCTTATGGCTTTCTGCAAAGACAAAAAGCTGGATCTGAATAATCAAGCATGTGTATTTGACCTCACATTTACAGAACTGTTCCATAAAGATACCATGGGCAATGGTGTCAAAAGCCACTGAGAGAATAAGAGTCAGCAGGGTAACAGTCCCCCATTTTTCTCCTGATAAAAGTTATGAACCTATATTACTGTCAAGATTTGGGATGTGAGAGATGGCTCCGAGAGAAGTCAGTCTTCCAGGCTGACAGCAAAGTGACTCAGAGACAGCAGTGTATTTAAAGACTATGTACAATGTAATTACAGTGGTGCCTCGCTTAGCGATTGCCTCGTTTAACGATGTATTCGCTTAGCGATGAGGTTTTAGGAGCGATCTAAATGCTTGGAATCGTTAGTGCACCTTGTAAAACCTTTGCAAACTTAATTTGGCTTTGTTCTGATTCTTCTTTAATTTTTGGTGAATTTTTCCCCCATTGAAATGCATTGAACTGTAGGTTTGACAGCTGTCAATGCATTCCAATGGGGGGAAAATTCACCAAAAATTAACGAAGACTCAGAACAAAGCCAAATTAAGTTTGCAAAGGTTTTACAAGGTGCACTAACGATTCCAAGCATTTCTAACAGTTTTTCAACATTTTAAGACACTTTAAAAATAGCGAAAACAGACCTATCAAAACCATTGAAATGCATTGAAACCTATTCAATGTATTCCAATGGGGGAACCACGTTTCGCTTAGCGATGTTTCCTATGGCGATTTTCGCTTAAGGACGGTAATCCATTCCCACTGGAATGGATTATCCGGTTTTCAATGCATTCCTATGGGAAATGGTGTTTCGCTTAGCGATGTTTTCCCATAGCGATGGTTTTTTTAACCAATTAACATCGCTAAGCGAGGCACCACTGTATGTACATTATTAGCCAACAGACTCAACATACTCTTTCAGGAAATGAACGGGCAGCACTTCTAGCAGCAATTCTCCAACACAACACTCCACACATCACCATAATGTGTAGCACTTACATAATTTGAACAACCAATCACTGTGGATAAGATGGGTAAAAGGATCAAGCGAGCAAATCTTAAATAATCTTATTCATCATCTCAAGGTGCAACAACTCGAACTACTTCAGACTAGATGGCACTCTAGACACATCCTTTGGTTCTGCATTAATTGTGGTTCTAAGTTTGGGACAGATGATAGTAACAGCTTCCTCAAATGCTTTCCCAAACTTACACAGTTGTCAAGCCACCAGTAGCCACATGCAGACAGAACAGCCTTGGTTCTGATATCCGTGCTATACTGATGCACAAGCTGAAATACGACAACGCACTGTATTTGGAGCTACCTTCAAAGATTGTTTGGAATTGTCACAGGAAATTTAGAATAGACTAGCCATATTGACTTGAACATGCCAAACAGAAAACATCCTGCCAATATCACTTCCTCATGCTTTGCTTGTGTCCGCAATTCAGAGAACTTATTCGACCTTAAAGCTCTAAACTGTGATAAGTAGAAGCATTGTTTGGGATTATAATTTGGCAAGTTTATTATTTAACATACATGAAACTCCCACATCACACACACACTGAGTTCCCAAAAATTGTGTGAAGACATTAAAAATTGTAACTACTGTACCAGCAAGAATGAGTCTTTACATTTGAAAATGGATTCTTATCTGAACACTAACTAGATCCAAAGGTACTTTGCTTCAGCCCAGTTGCGTGACCTGATAAAGATTTTGTATTTAGAATAATAACCAGTCACATTAGTAAAACAGCTATATTAGACTTTATCACTCATATTTGGAGAACTACTTAAATTATTTTATTTCACTAAAACAATAACATAATATAGCATACATACTCTTGTATATGCTTAATCATCAATGTGTTCATTGTTTCTACATAGATTTGCAGAACAACAAGGCCTTTTCTTGAATTGTGTTCATTTTATACCATTTTTACTGTGAAAAAGTGCATGTTATCTCAGCTTGGATAACTTGGATTGATTGAATTAGTTTACCAAAAATGTAAATATTGCATTAATATACAGCTTCATGTTACACAGAATCATACAATCACAGAATCATGACATTGGAAGGGGCCTACAAAGCCATCAAGTTCAACTCTAATGTTTTAAATAATTTCACTGTTGCTTTGATTGTAAGCCGCCTAGAGTGGTCTAGTATGACCAGATAGGCGGGATAGAAATAAAATAAATAAATAAATAAATAAACTCCCTGCTCAATGCAGGAATACAATCAAAGCATATCTGCCAGGTGATTATTATCTAAGTTTTTCTTGAATCCCTCTAGTGTTCCAGCACTCACCAATTCCTGAGGTAAGTGGTTCCACTGTCATACTGTTCTAACAGTCCTGGAAGTTCTTCCTGATATTCAGCTGAAATCTGGCTTCGTTTAACTTGAGCCCATTGTTGCGTGTCCTGCACCGAGAACAGATCCTGCCCCTCCTCTGTATGACAGCCTTTCAAATATTTGAAAAGTGCTATCATATGACCCCTCGGTCTTCTTTTCTCAAGGCTAAACATGTCCAGTGCTTTCGGCCTTTCCTCAAAAGGATTGGCTTCCAGCCCCCGATCATTCTTGACACCCTCCTCTGAACTTGTTCCAATTTTTGAGCATCCTTCTTGAAGTGTGGTGTCCAGAACTGGACACAATACTCAATGTGAGGCCTAACCAGTGCTGAATAGAGAGGGACTAGCACCTCGCGGGATTTAGAAACTATATGTCTATTAATGCAGCCTAAAATAGCATTTGCCTTTTTTGTAGCCACATCACACTGTTAGCTCATACAGTGGTGCCTCGCTTAACGGGTGCCTCGTTTAACGATGAATCCGCATACCGATTTTTCCCCATACAGTACCTTCCCCCAGCTGACCGGCGGGGGCAGGTGTTCCCGGCCCTCCTCCGGCATCGGCGGTGGCGACTGGGGTGGGGGGAAGCCGGGAGGAAAGGCAAGCCCTGGCTGTGC